GATGATTTAACTGATTATTATTTTATTTAAAGATTATCATTAAGCTTACTTTATAAAATAATTATAATTATACATTTAATCTTACAAATAGAATTTATAATACTTCTTACAAATTAATAGTATTCCATAATAATGATATTAGATTTAATAGATTAAATAAATAGAATAATAATATAATAGGCATTAACTAAATTTATTTCTGGTAATACAATTTTTAATGTTAAATAACAAATTACTCCAATATCATAAATTAAATATTAGTAAAAATTGTTTCTACATTGTTTAAAATAGATAATTGAATAATAATAATAATTGATAATAGTAAAGTTTTAAAAAATAAAAAAATAAAAAAAAAGCTCCGCGTCCGGGAATTGAACCCGGGCCTCAAACGTGACAGGCTTGAATACTAACCACTATACTAACGCGGATTCTTAGTATATATCTATATATATAATAAATATATCCCAGAACATAATTTTATTAAGATTCAATAATTTAATTATTAATTAATCATATAAATTATTTATGAATTTTAATATCAATGTCAAAAGTCCATTAATAGAAGAATTTATTGGACCTTTAAATAGAGTTGATTAAATTTATGATCATCTTGATTATGAATAAATTCAAATAATTTCAAATGACAAGTATTCACTTTTAATAGTTACAATTAATTTTGAGGGATCATTAGATTAAAGAATTGAAATGGCTGAATAATTAGTAAATCATTAAAAGATGATCAATTAAAGATTAAGAAACCTTGGTTTGAATGGAATTTTAGTAGATATTATTAAATATGAGATTATTAATAATAATGATTAAGTATTAATAATCTGCAAAATAATGAAAATGTCGAAATAGAAAGGGGTAGTGAATTTAGGTATAGCAAATTGTATTGAATTTTACACAGGCCTTGAATTAAAAGGGGTGCGACAACATATTGTTATGCATATTGAAGATTTGGGGATGAATAAAATTGTACCCTTCACATTTATGGAGGGTATTTTAAATGAAGATAATTAAGAATTAATAGCAAATTTACCCTAAGCAGAATAAAATAGTTAGAATGGAAATGAAGTTCATTTCTCTATGTAATCTGTAATTGTAATAATATATAATGATCAACTTGTTTAATTTAAGTAATTAAATGAAATGTAAGATATTCATATTTTAAAATATTTGGAATTGACTTCAGGTGTAATAATAAGTGATGTGATAAAGAAAAGCAAGACAACAATTATAAATGATAAAATACATTATTTAAATTAAGATGGAAAAACTATAGCAATAGGTGATATTGGAGAGAGAGGAAATATTTAGTTAAATATTAAAATAAAATAATAATACTATACACTTACAGCAGAATGGAATAATATGAAAGAGTTGATTGTAATTTATTTATGATTAATGAGAATTAAAGAATAGATGGATAGTCTTTTGAGCATCTTCCCAACAATTTGTTTACTCCTATAGATGACATTGTCTTGAGTTATTTTAACCATTATGAATTTGATTAAAGAGGGTATTTATTATAATAATTGTCTAAGTTCTTTAATATTTTTAAATTGTTCTTTAAAAGGAGATGTGAAAAACAAAGTTATAAAAATAAATAAATAGATTAAAAGATAGATTTGGTTTATTGCTTTGAAAACAATACTTACTATTTTATAAGTTAATATATAGAATGCTATTTATTAAGATTAGAAATTGTATTTGAGAACATTATGTAAATTAAATCAAAAGATTCCAATAACACAAGTTGAAATACAAGCTGATCTTAAAGAAGAAGATTTTAATTTAATTTTAGATTAATGCAATTTGAATCCTCATTTGGAATCATTAATACTTGATGGTTCTACATTTAAAGATACTATTCTTTCTGGTCTTATATAAGGAAACACTTTAAAAACTATTAAAGAATTAAGTTTTAAGGGATGTCCAAATATAACTGATGAAGGTATTTCTCTTTTATAAAATTTTGGAGTTTAAAAATTGGATTTATCTCATACTTAAATTTATTTAACATTACCTTAAAATCTATAAATTTTAAATATATCTTATAGTAAATTCAAAGAAGAAACATTATTATAATTATTTAGAGATAAATCATTAGTGAATCTAATATCAATAAATATTAGTGGATTGGCATCTGATAAACTGATATAAGTTATTTTTAGCTGTCATTATAAAGAATTAAGAGTACTCATAGCTAATGAATGTAAATTATCATTATCTGTATTTCATCATATTCATGATTCAAAACATGTAAAATAGTTGGATCTATTGAGTTTTTAAGGTTCTATTACAGATGTTGAAGAAAGTATCTTTAAAAAAAATGGATATGCATTATTAGGAGCAAGTAAAACTAAAATAAATAAATTGAATCTTGCAAATTGTTTAATAAATGACAAATTGATTCATTAGATGGTTGAATCTGGTAAATTACTAAAGAATCTTAGAGAAATATCTTTATCTGGATGTAGATATATATCTGATAAATCTATATATTTATTATGTGATGCACATTATACATTAACATGTTAATTGAAAAGTTTAGATATATCAAATTTACCATAAATAACAGATTCTTCATTAGAATATTTAGTAAATAAACCTTTGAAGAATTTATCAGATTTGAATCTAGCTTATTCAACTTAGATTTAAGCTGAACATTTGAAAAAGGCATTTGATACAGGCAAATTTAATTAACTAAAATATCTAGGAATTAGTGGCACAAGTGAAAGTGGAGGATAAGCAGATATATTTAAATTTAGTATACCAGAATTATGTACATATTATATAAGAAATCATTTATCTGAAATTTAATTAATAGAAATTTATACATCAACAAAAAATATTTAAAATATATCAACAGCAGTATTAAATTTATTGTAATCATAAATTCTCACCAAAATAGTAACGACAGATTAAATTATTTTAGAACCAGAAACCTATGATTTATTTAAAAGTTGTGTTGGATGTGAACGATTACTTTTAAATAATAAACCACTTTAATTAGATAATTAAGATAAAATTGAATAGTAGAACTAACTTACTGCAAATTAATTTTATGAAAAATTACTTAAATAGAATTAGTATGTATTGATAAATAACTCTGAAATAAAATTTATTAAATTGATGTTCAATTTTTAAACAATTAGTAAAATATGCTTTAAAAAAACTGAAATAATAGATAAAGATATTATAGGCATTTGTTAAAATTTGATTTTAACTGAAATCAATATTAAGAAATGTAAAAAGCTAACCTTTAAAAGTTTGATTTATTTATAGAAACTTTCAGAAACTTTAATTAATATAGATTTTAGAGGAACTATTTTTGAAAATTTATATTAAACTCTAGAACACTTATAATATTTTCCTAAACTTTTATATTTAAATGGAGGAAAATTAAATATTGAAATGTATGTTTTTTATAAAATAAATTTAGTATAAATGTTACTGAAACAAATCATGTAATATAAGAATTATAACATTTACCTACTCTATGGATGCAATTAGAATAAATTAAGTCCTTTAAATTAACGATACGTGCTCATTATATTTAAACATTTAAATTTATCTTTAAAACTTTATCTTTATTACTTAATAAAAATTAAGACTTTATTAAATCAATTTCTTTATAACTTTATTAATTTAAAGTCATATAAGATAAATCACTTTAATTGTTTCATAATAGTTTATTAAATTTATAATTTTTGTAGCATTTTCATCTTGGATTTCAAAGGTAATAATTTATAATTAATATATTAGTATGAAAAATATCTCACTTTTAACTTTAAAAAATATGTTTATAAGTCTTTCTAGTTTAGACTCTCTTAAATCCCTTTCCATCAGTTTGGATGAGTAAAATTTATCTAATAATTTAGTTGCGAATTATAATTTGTAGATGAAGATCTATTTTTAGCATCAACTGTATTTGAAGGAATTAAAAATATGAAGCTATAAAGATTTAGTTTCTCATCTAATGATACAGTAACATATGATCAATCAATATTTTCCAGTCTATTTAAATATATGTCTGATATTGATTCTTTAAAGTAAGTTAACTTGAGTTTTTAAAGGTATATAGTTTTTACATATTGAATCAGACATGCAATAAATAGAGAAAGCTTATCAGAATTATTTTAAACTTTGAAAGAATTGAATTTATAAAGTTTAAGTTTAAATTTTGAATAAAGTGGAGTTAAATATACAAGATAAATATGGGCAGAATTATTAGAAGTTTTAAGAATGAATTATAGCTTATTACATTTAGAACTCAATTTTAATCATACATTTGAATTGACTGATATGGATATCCTTAATATCATTGATGAGCTGTATTGTATGAAATTGACATCAACTTGTGTATCATTAATAGGGTATTTTACAATTAATAATATAGTTGCTATCACAATGAGAAGAGTATAAAGGAATTCACAAATGAAGATGTTAAGAATTATTAATTTTTTATATGATTAACAAATAAGATTAATAATCATTAAGTCTTATTTTGATATATAAAAAAATTATAATATATAAATATTAAGATTTCTTTTCCATTCAATTATGATTTTTTCTCTTTTCCATTCTATTATGATTGTTATTCTTAAAGAAAAATATAAATCTGGATCTTATCTATCATTTAAATAAACTACATATTTTTCAGAAATCTGTTCAATAATGGATAGGATAAATACTTAATTTATATCTGAAATCAAAGTAAACTAAATCTTATTGATTTAATCCTCAATTATTATAGAAGTCTATTTAAATATTTCTTATGTAATAATTAATAGTCTATATAATCTCCTAAAATATAAGATCATAGATTAGGTATTTCAATATACCTCAACTCTATAATAAATTCACATAATTTAAGTTTGATATTCATATGTAAAATTATTTAATGGATAGAAGAACTGAACTATATATCTTTTTTAATTAATCATTTAAAGATAATTATTAATAGTTTCTTAAATTATTTATTATAGTATGTTGAATTTGTAATTTAAAGTGCTTAATTACGCACTTTGATTAATAATTTTATTAATAATAATTATTCATTCTGTTTGCTTCTATTAAACTTTATTGATTGACAAATATTTGCATTTAACAATATTTTTAAATTTCTTTTCTTCATATGTCTTATTGGCTATTCTTCCTCTTGCATTTATAAACCATATTTGAATCTAAGAACTTATTATAATAATACCTGTTTGTATGTCAAATTACATTTCTCAGCTAATTATAAAGTTTATTCTTTAGTTGGATATGGGTAAGAGAAATGTTTATATAACCAATTTTTGAGAATTAAATTTGATTTCTTAGAAAATTTATGACCCTTTTTCTCATCTTATTTTTCTTGATCTTTGAGAAATTGTCGTTATTGATAGAGCTTGACTTCATTCTCTAAAACTTATTACATATAATCAAAGTGTTGTTAGAGAGATTTAATTGTATGGCAAGCAAGTTCCTCATTACTAAGAGATCTTAAATAAGTGAGGAATCCTTAAAAATGAGAAATATGAGTTGCTGTTTGACTTTGAGTCAATTATTCTTCAATATGAGATGAATGAATATTTTCTTCATTGAGGTTATTTGAAGTGATCCATTTATTAAGGAGAGCTTCAAGTTGATTAACTTATTGTAAAACAAACAATTTTCTCGATTCTACGTGAATAGGTAATGATTGAGACATTATAATGAGAATAATTGAGATATTTATTTTAAATTAGATACATTCTCACATCCATAAACTTAAATACTTAGAAATCAAAACAAATTATCATTTATATATTAATTATAATGGAAAGAATTTTATTTGAATACACAAGTAAAATTATATGGCCAGAGTATAATTATATGAAAATATTGATTGAATTTTCAGTCTTATACATATTATATACTATTTACAAAGTAAGTGTTGGAAAATATATAAATTATAAAGCATATACTAAAATTACTAGAATTGAAAAGATTAATACTGAAGATGAGGTTAAGAAATAAAAATAAAAGACTTAAGAAAAATAGGATAAGTAAGAGAAAAACTAAAAATAAGGAAAGAGAAAGAATTCTGAAAAAGAATAATAATAATCAAAAGATGTCTAAAAATAATAAAATAAATAGGAGACTTAATAGTAAAAATAAGAGAATCATCCTCATATATCATATAAGGAATTGTTGAAATAGGAGAAACATAATAAATTATTATAAAATAAAGAGAAATCTAAATCATCAAACAAAAGTATATAATAATAATAATTATTTTAGTTACTCATCCATTATATTTATCATCTGTAAAAGGATTCTCTGATTATATTACAGATTTTGCATATAATAATAAATACTTGATTGCAACAGGATTTGATAATAGTATAAAATTATTTGAGATGGAATAATTTTTCAAGAATCCAGATTAACCAAAATATTTATTTCATACTTTGAATGACATGCATGCAACAGCAATCTGTATATCTAAAAAAGAAGAAATTGCTTATTTTTCAGCTAATAATCAATTATTCAATTTAGAATTCTATCCAAAAGCTGAAGATAAATAATATTTTAAAGTAATTCCTAAAACAAAGAATTGTCATAAAAGTGATATTAATAGTTTACATGTTGATGAAAATGATAAAATTCTTATATCTACAAGTTCAGATACACATATAAAGATTTGGAATATGAAAGGAGATTTATTGAAGGAAATAAATACATCATATGGTGAACATTATAGTTCTTGTTTTATGAAAGGATTTTTAGTAGTTAGTTCTTGGAGTGTAGATACAAGTATCTATGAGATTAAGTTCAATAAGGATCATACATTTAGAACACTTGAAAAAGAAGAAGTCTTAAGAGGTGAGAAGACTAGTGTATTAGATGCAAGTTTAAATGAGCATGGTACATTAGCTACATTATGTAATAAATCATAATGTAGAGTATACAAAATAAATACTGAGAGAAAGATTAAAGAAGATGCTAAGTTATTAACTAAAATTGAACATTCAAATATCAGTGCAGCTGCAGTAAATGAAAATATTCTAGTAGTAGCTGCTGATGGAAGCATTCATATTTATAATAGAAATGTATCAATATCATTTTATTATAGTTCTAATAAATTGATCAAATAGATAATGCTGCCAATGGTGCTTATATTAAGAGAGTTAGAATTCATGAATTACATTCAAGTTTAAAGAATAAGAATTTCTATGTATGTTTTGTTTGGGGATAAGATGAGGAAAGAGTTAATGTCTTTGATTTTACAAAATATCATGAATGATAAATATATTAATATAAATATAATAGAAGAAACTATAAATTAGAGGAATCAACAATAATGGATTCTAAAAACGAATTTATGTATTATTATTAATATACAAAATATGAAAGCATCTCTTGTATGCATACTAATTCTGACTGTGACAGCAGTTGATTTTGAATCATTTTAACAAGCCTTAGAGTTTGATCCATAAACAATGTCAGGAGATAATTGTGGAAATGATGATTAGTTCACATAATAATATGATGCGTATTTCTTATTTATATTTTCAGATTCTTACCTTGGATTTAATTACTTGAAGAAGGTGAAATTGAAATGTAAGAAGATCATAGTGTACTTACTTAAGCTAGAGATAAAATTAAATTAGTCAGAGAATACTTATAAGATTTGGATGAAGGTAATTTAATTATCTGAATTTAGAACTTGAGTAGGAGAAAACAAATAATGTAGTTGAATAACCAACATAATAACCTACATAATAATCTGATCCATTACCAGTTTAACCAGCATAAGAAGAAGTTTAAGAGGATGATGATGAAGAAGAGAATGATGATCCATTTGGTTGGGGAGCTGGTGAAATCCCATAACAATTATTGGTTGATAGCAAGAAAAAACATAATAAAAATCTTAAAGGACATGCTAAGGTTTTATTGGAAGTTATGAATAAGAGCAAATCACTCAAATATAAAAGCGTATTCCTTTCATTTATCATAGAAAATCAGAAGAATTGTTGCTATGGCTACTGCATTAGATACTGATATGGGAACTCAAGATTTATAGGAAAGAAAAAATCGTAAATTAGAACTTTGTGATTTAATTTTGGATGAATTAATCAATATGATTGAATTCTTAGAAAAAGTTATGAATGATTATGTATTTAACATTATACTATCTATAGGAATATCAATAAGAAGCTTATGATATTTTCAAAAAGAAATAAGAAGAAATAGTAGAAGTTGCTAATGGATGTGGAGCAAGAGTGATCTCACTCTAAGACACTTATTCAACAAGCTTTGTTTAAACTCAACCTTTAAAGAGAAATAAAAAATAAAATAAGAAATAAAATAAGGAACAAAAGAGAAAAAGAAAGCATTGAATAATAAATAAATGATACATCTTCATTTGCCTTAAGTGATCCAATATTACTCATATTTCTGGTACTTCTCTGTATTTCTTCTTAAAATATCTTCTAATGGCCCTAACATTCTTTTAAAGCTATGTCGATCTAAATATATTAATTTCACTTCAGTCTATTAAATAGTATTAAAATTACTTCAGCAACTACATTAGCTTGTCTTGGTATATCTTTGAGTAATGCTAATTCTCCAAAATAATCACCTTCTTTATATTGAAATACTTTGACAGGATCTTATCCTTAAATTAAAGTTTTGGTTGCAATCAAATTGCCTTCCTCTATCATATAAAATATATCTCCTTATTCACCTTCCCTTATTACATATTATCCCTTTTAGAAAGATGCACTTTTGATAGCATCAGCTACATGAGATCGTTCATATGGATCCATCATTGAGAGAAGTTCAATTTATTTCAAAACATTAACATATTTTTCTCTTTTTCTATGATTAAAATATAAATTAGTATACTTCATAGCTGCATCTTTAACAATATGATTGAAAGTTTATCTATCCAATGCAAATAAAACACTATTAGTTTTACTTTGAATAGAAGCTGCCCTGGGAGCATTGTAGAGTAAAGCTAACTCTCCAAATGATTCTCCAGGATAATAAACTTTTAAGAATTTGTTCTCACCTTCTTTAGTGAATCTCTTAAAACAGTTTAATTCTCCTTAATCAACAACATATAAATTATCTCCATTATCTCCTTATTTGATAACCCAATCATCTACACTATATAAAGATATAACAAATCTTCATACTTATAACTTCGTTCTTCCATTGCATCTATTACAATATCTTTTTCTCTGCTATCCAAAGATGCAAACATAAATGATTATGATAATCTTTTGCTGATAATTTCTTTCTATTATTGGGATTTGACAATCACTCTAGGTTGAAAAGACTGAAATTTTATATTCATTTATACACCTCTTTTCTATTGTATTATCCATATGCTTCAGCAGAAATTGATGCTCTCTATTTACGAGCTGCTGCAGGTCTTTTAGGTAATTCAATTACTTCTTCATCTGAGGAGGAAGATTAGACACTTGGTCTTTATTTTTATTTGACTATATCTCTACCTTATTTATCTAACCATGCAATTGACCAATCAATCTCAATATTATCAATTCAACTTACCACATTCTTTGGTTATTGTGCCAAAATATCTTGCATTAGTCTCTATAATAGAAAAACCACATTTTCTTAGGCATATTAGCGTAGCTTATCTGCCTATTAATTCATTTATTGGATAATTATTTAATCACAATTTTTCCTTTACTTCTTTATTATGGAATTGAAATAAGAAATTATTTATTTATAATAATGCAAAGTGAGGATAATGATTGGTAGAAAGTTGTTCAGACTACAACAAGGATTGATCAATAAATAAAGAATATTAAAATGAGATTATAATCAGCTCTTACTCAATTAATCATATAATCAGAAGAATAAAATAAAATTATTAATCCAGATCCAATCATTCAAAAATCTAATCCTCCTTTGATAATTCAACATAATAGTAGATCAATAGAGAAAAAGGATAAACCTGCCTTAAGATAATGTGCATCTAAATCTCCTATTCGCACACCAGATACTGCTGAATGTCCATCTCCAATATCCCCATTTTCAAATAATTCAACTCTGAGAATGCAATTAAAATAAGCAGAATTACTTAGTCCTAAATATTAAAATATATCTGATAGATTTCATATTGGAAAATTCTTAGGGAAAGGAAAATTCAGTGATGTCTTTTAAGCATAGTATATCTTTAAATTAAGATAGAGAGAAAACTTCTAAGGTTCTAGTTGCTTTAAAAGTGATATAGAAAAATGTTATTAGTAAATATAAAATGGAAGCTCAATTGGCACATGAAATAAAAATATAAAGTTACCTTAATCATCCTAATATCTTAAAACTTTATGGAGTATTCTAAGAATAAACTAAAGTAATTGTACTTATTTGAAAATAGATTATATTAATACTTGAATATGCACCAGATGGAGAACTTTATAAATTATTAAAAAAATAGCCAAATCGTAGATTCACTGAAAATAAAGCAGGAAATTATATTGCATAAATTGTAGAAGGGATTTCATATATGCATAAAATGAAAGTTATTCATAGAGATATAAAACCTGAAAATATTTTAATTAGTCTAGTATCTAAATTGTTATTCAATTTTAGTAATTCTTAAAAATTGCAGATTTTGGTTTAGCAACTTATTCTCCTGAATCAAAACCAAGATAATCCTTCTGTGGAACTATAGATTATATGTGTCCAGAAATAGCTTCAGGATAGGATTATGATCATTCAGTTGATTTATGGTCTATAGGAATTTTAGCATATGAATTAACTACTGGAACTACTCCATTTTATTAATCATCTAAAGAAGATACAATGAGAAAAATTATAGAAGGAAGAGTAGATTTTCCAAAATATGTATCAAATGAATTATAAGATTTTACTAAATGTTGTTTAAGAAAAGATCCATAATAAAGACTTAGATTAGAATAAATGGCTATACATAAATGGATATAAATGAATCATTAAGCAGGTGGTTAATATGATAGGATGTTAGTACAATCTTTGGTGACAATTTTGAAATGATTTATAAAAATTATCATAAAATTCTTTTATTTAATAAAATAATAATAATATACATTTTAACACTAAAAATATTGAAAATTAATTCACATTTTATCATCTATAATAAATTCTCCTATAAGATTTTATTACTATAATAAATATTTAGAAGGTTTCCATATTTTGATTAATTTATCTTAACCACCACTTACAACATAATTATTGGTTTAGATAACATTTAAAACATTCACTGGTTATGTAGAAGCATTAATTTCATTTACAAGTTGAAATTTTCCATCCTCATTTATTTTAATTGCTTTAATTTATCCATCCTTTGAACCAGTGTATATTAATTTTAATGATTTATCAACTATAAATATAAGATTGATTATTTACTTGCTAATGTCATTATTAAATCTTTATGGATACTATCATTTGTTTACATCTCTAAACCAGTTTATTAATTCCATAACAACATTCTCTTACTTAAAGAACTAATATTTTTATATAATAATAATAGTACCAACTAACAATATAATTATTAAAAGATGCCACACCAGTAACTTTATCTAATTAAGGAGGTTATAATTATTAAATCTATCCATATTTATTTTTACTGAAAGGAATTCTTTTTGTATAATGTTTTAATGTTCCATAAATTAATTCTCTATTCTCATCAGACCCATAAGTACTTAGAATATCTGAACCTTTTTCAAATTCATATAAAACACTAATAAAAATTTATATTATACTTATTCTATCTATGATCCCAAATATTCAAAGCACTAGAATTTATTGATTTTCCTACTGCTACAAATAATCCATTTATTGTTGTCATGGCTTTTACTTCCTCTATGGTTGACTTTAACATTCCTTTAGAAGTAAAAGTTTAAGGATCATACAAAGTGATTTAAGATCCATGAGATATCGCTATTGAATCTCTCTCAGCCCAATAATAAATAGATCTACAATGACTACTCTACTCTATTGAACTTAATAATTATGATGTTTCAATATCCCAAACTTTAACTTATTTATATTATCCAGAGAATAATAAGTTGTCTTTATTACATAAAGATAAAATTGGTTAATCATGTCCTTAAAAAGTCTTTATTAATCTAAAATTGTATAATAATAAATATTTACTCATAACCTCCAAGATCTTAAGATGAATTTATATAATCAGCCATTGAATATGAACTTCTTACTCTTGCACTTGTACTTATTGGACCTATTGATTTAGTACGTGATAAAGTTTAAGTCTCTTATTCATTTTTTACATCTTTTGGATAATAATTCCGTACAATATAATTTGAATTTGAATGTTATAATTAAGATTTCAATCCTATTGACTTATCTTTTTATTATTTATTTATCTATTCATTATAAAAGTTTTTATAATAATCTAATTCTAAACTAGTTGTTCTACAAGTATTCTAAGAAACTTGAAGTTTTCGTTTATATTCATTTAATTATCTTTTCAAATCATCATTAGGAGTACTTGATCTTGCTGATTTCTTTATTGGACTTGGTCGTGAACTCATTAAAAGTTAATTTGCTTAATTCAAATCTTCAATTTATTAAGCATAGTCACTCATCATCATATGATCTTTAACCCAATTATCAATTATATATCTAAAAGATCTTATACACCAATTTGGTAAATCTTTAAAATATTGATTAGTAAACATTATAGTATAATACTCATTCGATTTTTAAGTTACTGTTCTATATTCATTAATTTTTTAAACTTAAAATTCTATAGTTTCTTTGATATTCTCTCTTTTTTCTTAATAATCACTTAATTCAATTTCTAATTATTTTAATATTTCATTGTTCAATTAATTTTTACTCTATTCAATGTCAAATTATAATTAATCAATCTTGATTTAAATGCTACATATCTTTTTTTGAATAATTTGTAATTCTTCTTAAATTTCTTCCATTTATTTATACTCTAATGTAATTTAATCTTCTGCCTACTATCCCATAATTAGTTCATTAAATAAATCATCAATTTATTTTTAAAAAGAATCATATTAAATTGACTAATTTGGATTATACTTGTTATGTTATTTAATAACAAGTTTCTCATTCTTTTATTTTAATAATTCATCATCTTTTCTTTTCAATTAAATATCTTTTTTTGTATTTTCATTTTTTAATTTACAAAGAATAGTATCTTATTATATTTTAAGTTTTTTAGTTTTAATTAATTCTTTCTACTATTCATCTTTTTCTTTCATATATTTTTGATTTTCTTATTTCATTTTTTTTAATAATTCTACCTTTTACCTTTTCATAGACTCAATATTATTTTTCAAATTATTAACTTATGATTCTTATTCCTCTAATTTTTTATTTAATTATTTAGACATTGTATCTTTTTATTTCATCTCTAAAATTTTAGTTTCATATTCTTAAATTTTTAATTTTAAAATATTAATTTAAGTTGAATCTTATTTAGTTATTATTTATCTTTATAAATTGAATTTTTCTAATTCCAAATTAACTATTTATTTATGATAATCTTATTTTATTTCATTTTATAATTATAACTTTATTTAAGTTTATTGATTATCTATTTCTATTAGATTATTTTCTTGTTCCTCAATTTTTTAATCATTCTCAAAAAACTCTGTCTCATTCATCTCAAAATCATCATTTGATTCTTCTAAATTTAATAACTTATTTTATTTATGATATTATATAAGTAATAATTTTTAATCCCTATGAGATTCCTATACTAAGATAATAATCAAATTAATTTACCTTTATTAAAATGTCATTCCTCTATTATAACTCCTATATTTTCTACTCTTATTCTTACACTATTTTTTTTAAATTAAATATCTCATTATAACAACTATCTAAAGATAAATCTTCAACAAAATTTTATGTTATATTGTTTTAAATAAGTAATCTAAAATATCTCTTGTATTTACTTTCGAGCATCTTAAAACCATTTTAATACCTAATCTCTTTATTTCTTGGCTTTAAAACATTCAATTTCACTCTCACTATAATCTTTCTAAAGCAATAAAAAATCTTTTTGAATTTTCTACAACTACTGATCAAACTATTAATTCTAAGATTTAAGTTTATTAATTTATTCAGTATGATTTGTACAATTTTCTTATTAGTTTTTATAAATCAAATCAGTGATTAGATTTTAGTTGATTTTTATACTGTCGGTATTTATATTGTTGTCTATCAGTAATTACTAATATTGCTTAATTTGATCATTCAAATAATTAATGGTTTATTTTAAAGCCATAACCTAAGCTACATGAGGATCCTATAATTAAGTTGATAATTACTCTATTTTAAGTTGGCTTATTCTTTATTTCCCTAGCTCTACTTGCATATTTCAAAGTATTAATAGTTTCTTCATAATTACTTGAAGCTGGAGATATACAGGCTATCATACAAGTATTTGAATTCCCCCCTAAAGAATCTTAAAGGATTCTCAAAATACAATATATAAATACCTAGTTAATTTACTTTCTCTGTATGGCACATGAGCAGATTTCTTTTGATCACTCAAAGTTTTAATTACATTTCCTAATACTAATAAGCTTTAATTTATATTTATTCCTTCTTCCATTTGTTTACCTATAGCTTATGTCTTTTTTAATCTTTCACTACCAGCTAAATCA